AGAAGAAAAACGATGCAGAAACGCATATCCGATTCCTGTGTCATAGGTGGAGCCATCTAAAGAGCACTGGTAGAAAGAGGTAGCTAGCAACCATAGATCCCTCCTAAGCCTCCCTCCCTCTCCCCATCACTAGTCAGTCAGTTTGTCAGACTGTGGTGGCTTACCCGTTGCTGTGATGTTGGAAGCAGGGTCACTCATGGTGGACAGGTTTCAGCTGAGCTTCCAGACAAAGACAAACTAGAAGCAGAGACAGACTACTTCAGAATCTTTAGTCACTGAAAACCTTGTAAGTAGCAGAACCCTGTCAGCATCAGAATACTGAATATTGAAACATGATGAAGAACACCAGAGTATTGTTAGATGTAGTACCAGAAGATGAGCCTCAGATTGGAAAGCAATCAAAAGAAGCCTGGGGAGGAGCTGCCTCTCAAAATAGAAACAGTCACAATAACAAGAATGGTGTAAAGTTGTGGGGACCTTCATTTGCTAATGGGGCACAACTCTAGTGAGGAAAAACAGCTGCAAACATCCCCTAAAAATCAGAACATAAAATGTACAAGCATGAACTTAGAAGCATTGGAAGTTGTCAAAAGTGAAATGGAATGCATGAAGATCAATATCCTCCCCATTACTGAACAGAAATTGACTACTGGTATTGGCCACCTGTATCAGACAATTATATGAATTACTATGGCAAAAACAACAAATTAAAGAGGAATGGCATCGCATTCGCCATCAAAAAGAACATTTCAAGATGTATCTTGAAGTCCAATGTTGTCTGTGATAGGATAATGTCCATATGCCTGTAAGGAAGACGAGTTAATACTACTATTATTCAAACTTAGACACCAACCACAAAAGTCTGTGATGATGAAATCGAAGAATTCTACCAATTTCGTCAGTCTGAAATAGATCAAGCATGGAATCAACATGTACTGATAAATCACTGGTGATAGGAATGCAAAGGTTAGAAACAAAGAGAACAGATCAGGAACTACAAAATATTGCCTTAGTGAAAGAAATAATGCTGGAGATCACATGATGCAATTTTGCAAGACCATGACTTATTCAAAGCAAATACTGTTTTTAAACATGGCCCTCACCAGATGGAATACACAGAAATCAAACTGACTACATCTGTGGGAAGAGACAACGGAGAAGCTCAATATCATCAGCCAAAGCCAGGCTCATATACAAATGTAAGCTGAAGCTGAAGAAAATGAAGGCAAGTTCATGACTGCCAGCATATAACCTTGAATAGATCTCACCACAATTTAGAGACCATCTCAAGAACAAATTTTATGCGTTAGACAGACACTAATGACTGAAGGCCAGAGAGTTGTGGGATGACATCTAGAACATCATACATGAAGAAACCTAAAGGCCACTAAAAAAGACAAGAAAGACAGAAAAGGTGCCACAGGAGATTCTGAAACTTGATATTAAGCAATAGAGAAGCTAAAGCAAATGGAAGAAATGAGACCGTGAAAAAGCTGAACAGAAAAGTTCAAAGGGAAGCTAGAGAAGACCAAGTCAAGTATTATAATGAAATGAGCAAAGAACTGAAATTAGAAAGCCAAAGGGAAAAAGCATTTCTAAAGCTGAATGACCTGAATAGAAATTTTATTTCACCATCCTGGTTTCTCAGGAGCATTCTGGCTGCATTACCTCCAACACACCAGTCCCTGGAGAAGGACATCATGCTAGGTAAAGAAGAGGGTTGGAGAAAAAGAGAAGACCCCAAACAAGGTAGATTGGTACAGTGGCAGCAGTATTGGGCTCAAACTTAACAACAATTGTGAGGATGGCACAGGATCGGACAGTGTTTCATTCTGTTGTGCATAGGGAAGCTATAAATTGGAACCAACTGGACGGTACCTACCAACCACAAGCCTTCCTCTAAATGAGCACACAACAGAGCTTAATGAGCACACAGCCTCATTTTGTTGTTGTTAAGCTCTGTAGCATCATTTCTGACTCACAGAGACCCTGTATAGGATTTCTGAGGAGTGACTGGTGGATTTGAACAGCCAACCTTGCAGTCCAGACCAACCTTGAGGTCCAGTGCGTATTCTATAGTGCCATACCAAGATTCTTACAACTTAACAAGATCCTGGGGCAATTTATGGGCATCTTGTTAAAATAGATTTTGATTCAATATACGTGGGGTGGAAAGGAAAATTCTTAGCCGGCGTTCATCCGGAAGGAAGAAATTTGGAGCCCTGGTGCAGAGGGCATCATCTAGCTTGATACATTCATTACACTCATATGGTCCTAAGATCAGCTGGCAGACGCTTTGTCAAGTTCACCAAAGTTGTTAAGTGCCATCGAATTGATTCCAACTCATAGCAACCCTGTATAAGGTTTCTGAGGAGCGGCTGGTGAGTTTGAACCTTCAGCATTCTGTTTCAAACCCACCTTGCAGTCCAGTGATACCAATGGTGGTGGCAAAATCAATGTTGGGTCCAAGTCGGGGCATGAGAACATCAGTTCAGGGTTCTTTCAAAATGAGCCAAAATAATTGTTTCCTGTTACTTTCTTCATGAAACAGCCACTTGATTATTCTCAGGGGAACTTGCAGACTATTAAAGGACCAAATTACAAAGGGACAGGCTGAAAGATGATACAAACACCATGCTGGGGAGGCTGCTGTCCACCCCCACACACACCACACAATGGCTATTGTCTCCCCTGTGGAATCTCTATAGAAAAGTCTTAAGGTTTCCAAAGAAGCAATTAAACTCCTCAGTCACCCTTAATTCATTCGCAACCCCTTCTCAAATAATTTCGTAAATCCCCCAAAGAATAACATACACTCTTGCTCAATATTAACAAGCCCTTGTGTGAAACTGAAGAAATACATTGTCCTTTCAAAGGGAAATTTAAAAAAAATAAATGAAAGGAATTTCATTCCCAGAATATTCAGAAACTTACCCAGTCGAATGTGCCTCATTCTCAAAAGGCAGGGTGAGTGCCAATTAGATCAGCAGATCCACTGGGCCGGCGCTGGGGTGAATGAGGTGGCTGGGTCAGGGACCACACTGGACTTGCTGTCATTTCTGACCTCGAAGCTCTGGATCTTGCAACATCTTCCCTAGTATGTTACCACCACCATGTTCATCTGCTCTCACTCCCAAATGGCTATTGAATCAAGTCCTGTCCATAGGGAAATCAACCTGAACACCCCCAGTCAGAATACTGAATACCACTCCACCAGAGACTATGCAGCAATGGAGTTTGCTTGACAAAGGTCTGCTCTCCCACCTCCAACTCCACTTGGCATTTGTCTTTTGTTATGTTCCTGCTAAATCCAATTATATATCTGTTACCTCGGGCCACCACAATTACTTCTTGGGAATCAGACTATCTGGCTAGGCAGAGAAGCACACCCACCTTTGATGTCAAAGGATCAGACAACAAACTCATTTTCACCTTCTTGGCATTTCAGAAGATCACAAATAATTTCCTTAGTGCCTAGTCATTAAGAAAGGAGCCTGGTGGTGCAAAAGGTTAAGCATTGGGCTGCTAACCTAAAAGTCAGTGGTTAGAGCCCACCAGCGGCTCCAAGAGAAAGATGAGGCTGCCAACTTTCTTAAAGATTGACAGCCTTGTGCCCATAAGTCATAATCAACTCACGGGCAAGTGGGTGGAGTCAGAAGGGAATCCCGGGATGGTGTAAATAACTATGACCCTGAAAGGCTGATGGTTCTAGATCACCCAGAGGCGCCATGAAATAAAACCCTAATGACTTGCTTCATAAAGGTCACACTCTTGATAAACATACAGAACACGATTGTAACTCTGTATCCACTGGGTAACCATGAGTCAGAATTTATTTGATGGCATTTTTTCCTTTTTCTTCTTTTTTAATTAAGAGATTGAGGGTAGAACTGGAAGGCAAAACAACCAATTGAGACTAGGGATGGTGAATGAGCACCAGCTGGAACGAGTTTACATTTCCCCCTTGCACTTAATTCCTCTGAAAACCTACACAGGGTCACTATGAGTTGGGAATTGACTCAAGGGCACTTAACAACAACTTTACTTTCTTAATAGCCTTAATGGGTATGAGTTATTGCAAAACAAAGTGAAATTGATTGCCTTCGTTGCTATAATTTGCAAAGACAGTTTGATCACAGAACTCAGGGATTTTTCCAATCCATTGATCTTAGGGTTTCTTTTCAAACACTCATTTTGAACTATGTTTTCTCTAATGAATTGAGAGTCTTAATGAAGGGGTTCCCTGTTCCTCACTACCGCATTTCACAATAGCTGTTAGATGACCACAGCGTCATCAAAGCCGTGGAAAATGTGTGTCGGGGGCAGGGGGGTGATTCAAGAGAGTGGTGCTGCCGAGGACATTGATTCTGACACCCCAAACCACATGCTGAAGGTGATGCGGAGGGCTTGGGAAGCCCAGGCCTCGATCAGGCTTGCATGGGGTCTCAGGCCCAGTAGAGGTGAAGGAGCGATGGCTCCCGGCACCTGGAGTCCTCGGCAGCCTGGGAGTTCAGCAGAGGCCTGGAGCCTCCAATGTGGGGTTGGCTTGACCAGCTGCACTTTCAGGACAGTGGGGCTCTGACACCAAGACAGCACCTTCTGACAGAAGATTGGGCCAGGGACAGCCCACAGTGCTGCCGGGTCACAGAATAAGGTAGAGGGGCGGGGATGGGGGGTGGGAGGCGGGCCTTAATGGCTCCCAAAGAGCCACCTGGGGACGCCCCCAACAACATAACCTCAACCCTATCTTCCGCCCTATGGATCTTGAGTCCTGTTTTTAAATTCTTGGGGCCCATCCCTAAGCCCTGCCCGCCATTAGCTCTGCCCACCATTATTAGCTCTGCCCACCATTAGCTCTGCCCACCATTAGCCCTGCCCACCATTAGCTCCGCCCCTCCCCACATTGCACCTCGAGTTCTGCCCTCCTTACACCTTCCCCCAAGTCACGCCTCCCTCCCCGCCCCCTGCTGCCCTTCTCTTCCCAGGCCCCACCCCACGCCATGCCTGGAGCCCCGCCCCCTTACGCTGCACCTCCCTTCACGCCTCCCACCATACCCTCCTCCTGGCCTCCACCTGGGAACACGGGTGTGTCCTCCCTATAAATTCACTGGCCCTGGGTACCTCCATCAGCGAGTGGTTTGGGATTGTCGCGTTTTGTCTTTGACTTCCTCATCAGCCTCCATGGGTGAGATCCAGTTCGAGGGTTTACAGTTGCTCACACATCCAGATCGTCTATGGATCTGGCAAAAGAACGTGTATACAGACGAAAACCAGCGCACCTGGATGTCTATAACCGTGGAGGTACAGTATTCAGACTGTGAGACTGGAAATGCTCTGGGGTAGGTGGTACTGGGAGCCCTGTCTGGTGGCAGGGGAGTATACACGGACGGCCTGGGCCTTACAGGTGGAACCACTAGGAGCAGGGTTCTGAAGGATGAATAGGAGTTTTCCAGACTGGTGCCTCTGACCTTGATGAAGACAGTTCTTTGGGTTAAACTGCTCAAAGGGAAAAAGATAACTTCCTGGGAAACCTTAGGGCGCAGTTTTACTCTGGCCTATAGGGTGGGCTTCCAGTTCCTAACCTGTAAACTGAGGCTCATTTATCTTAAAGTGATTCACATACCTGGCCGATTGTCAGAATCTGTTGGAAATTATAATCAGTCGAATTTGGGAACTCATGATGGAACATGGGTGTTCCATGCTTCCTGTAAGCCTTGAAGGAGCCTTGGCCCGCTGGGTCAGGCATTGGGTTGCTAACCGTGGGGGCAGCAGTGCCAACCTCCATTGTTGTTGTTAAGTGCCGTCGAGTCGGTTCCGACCCATAGCGACCCTGTATAGGGTTTCCGAGGGTGTAAATCCTTACGGGAGTAGAAAGCCTCATCTTTTCTCCCGCGGGCGGCTGGTAGTTTCGAACCGCTGACCTTAAGGTTCGCAGCCCGATTCGTAACCACTATGCTACCAGAGCTCCTTGCCAAATTGCCAACCTCCATAGTAGGAGAAAAATAAGAATGCTCCGGTAAAGACATAGTTTTGGAAATCCGATATAGGGTCGCTACAGGTTTCGCTACAGGTTTCAATCGACTTGGTGGCCATAGGTTTGTTGGGTTTGGTTTGAGTGTACTTCAGAGGAAACAAACTGAACATATGGTGTGATACTAAAAAGGCTAATAATATTGAATGTGTGTGTGTGTGTGTGTGTGTGTGTGTGTGTGTGTACAGACTTGGTTTTATCTGTAATGCTTTAAGATGGAATCCTACTTAATACTTTTTCTTAAAGGCATCCTGGTGGCTCAGCAGTTAACATGCTTGGCTGCTAACCAAAACGTCAACAGTTCAAATCTATCTACCTGCCTCTCTGCGGAGAAAGATGAGACTTTTTGCTTCTGTAAACATTAACAGCCTAGGAAACACTAGATAGGGTTACTTTGAGTCCGAATCTACTATAAGACGTGGGAGGCTTGTTTTGTTTAACTCTGCCCTATAAAGTCGCTGGAATCCTGGTGTGGCGCTGTGGGTTAATGCGCTGGACTACAAAGTCGGTTTGAACCACAGGGTCTGTGGTTCAAGCTCACCAGCCGCTCCTCGGAAACCCTATACAGGGTCACTATGGGTCGGAACTAACAATGGCAGTCAACAATAATAACAGCAATAAAGTCACTCTGAGTCAGCATCTCGAAACCAACTTCAAGGCAGTGCGTTTTTCCTTAAAGAAATATAACTTTTTTATAAGTACCTTCCACCAAAGCATGAGTTTCCACAAAGAAAGGTGAAAGATTGAAAGTCTAGCCACACACTAAAGAAAGTATCAAACTAAATTAAAATATATATTAGAATACCTATATAATATTGTTTTTGGTGAGCGCTGACTAGTTGGTTCTGTCGGGTTTCCGAGGAGTGACTGGTAAGCTTGAACCACTGAGCTTGTGGTCCAATCCGACCATGTGGTCCAGCACATTAACCTGCAGTGCCACACCAGGACTCCTATGTAATATGATAACAAACAGTCCCAGCCTCATTACTTGGACAAGTGTGTATTTTTTTGGGGGGGGCGGGGGGGAGGCTCAGTTTCATCACCTGGAATGTGGAGACATTGTGACATTGTCAACACTCAATAATGGTTTACAGTTTGCTACCACGTTGCGTAGCAAACAAAGTGCACATTTGTCAAACGTAGTGGGGTTGGGATTGCCAGCTCTTAACCACCTTCTAAACGTTGTGATTTTGTGAGTGGGGGTTTTTGTCATAAAGTATGTGACGTTTTTAAAAGTATCTATATGTATACTGTAAAGGTTTAAAAGACAATTAAGTTAAATACTTTCAGGTAAACATATATTTTGTAATCTGGCTGGAGAATATTTTCCTTAACACAGTACTGAAAGCAAGAACTAGTCAAAATTTCTGTTGTCATCAGTATAAATTCTGTGTGGAAGAGAATCCTTAGCAAAGTGGAGAGGAAGGGAGTGAACTTTACCACACAGGACTAAAAAAACCAATGTTCTTCACATGTAAACATTTACTTAAATCAGTAAGAAAAAGATGAATGGTAGCAACTGAAAATGGTGAGCGGATGTCGAAGAGGGATTGTGTATTTTTACACTTTGCGGTCTGAACTGTGCAGCTCTTTAATTGTGAGTGTTAATTTCTCTCAGACACAAAAAGTAAAATAAAGCTATTTTATTTTTTGATCACTGAACAAACTTGGAGAACTGAGTGTACTTTCCAGACAGGTGTCTAGGCTCTGGGGGAGGTGGGAGCATGCATTCAATGTGATTAAAATACCCATGTGTGTGCAAATGACGTTCTGCTGGAAATGATGGACAAATCTCATTGGAAACAGATGGAAAGTTCTGTAGGAGAGTTAAAGTGGGGTATGAGGTGACAACAAGCAATGTGGGATCCCTGTGGGGGTCTTCATTTCCTTTAGTGCATCGTTTTATTCATAGCCTTTCCAAATCGTCATGTTTTAGGCATACCTCTTAGGGATGAGGGGGCTTCCAAAAGTTCCTGGGAAAACTGTTGTTGGTAGATGCCATCAAGTCGGTACTGACCATAGCGACCCATCAACAAAACACTGCCTGGTCCTGGGCCAACCTCATAATTGTTGCTACGTTTGAGCCCATTGCTACTGCCTTTGTCCCAATCCGTCTACTAGGGGATGTTCCTGTTTTTCTCTAACCTTCCACTTTACCTAACATGATATCCTTCTCTAGAAACTGGTCCCTCCTGAGAATATGTTTGAAGTATGAGAGATGAATTCTGGTCATCCTGGCTTCCAACCAGCATTCTGACAATACTTCTTCCAACACAGATTTGTTTTTGCTCTTTTGGCAATCCACGGTACTTAAAATATTCCTCAACACCAGAACTCAAATGCATCAATTCTTCTACAGTCTTCCTTCTCCAGTGTCAAACTTTCACATGTTTATGAGATTATTGAAATTACCATGGCGTGGGTCAGGCTCACCTTAGTCCTCAAACTGACTTCTTTACTCTTGAGCGCTTTAAAAAGGTCTTGTACAGCAGATTTGCCTAATGCAATATGTTGTTTAATTCCTGGACTTCTGCTGCCATGAGTGTTAATGGTTTAGCCAAGCAAAATGAAGCCTTTTAACCACTTCAGTCTTTTCTGGTATTTTCCGCTTTCATCTAAAATCCATCTGACATCACCAGTGATATCCCTGTTCACATCTTGGTCTGAATCCGGAGCTTCTGGCAGTTTGTCAATATATGTTTGAAGCTGTTTCGGGATTATCTTTAGCAAAATTTTACTTGTATGAGAAATCAGGGATGTTGCCTGATGACTTCCATATTCCGTTGGGTTACCTCTCTTTGGAATGGGCACAGATATGAATCTCTTCCAGTCAGTTGGCCAGGTAGTTGTCGTCCAAACTTATAGATGAATGAGTGTCTCCAGTGTTTCATCAGTTTGTTGAAAGATTTCAGTTTGTGTTTGCATCAATTCCAGGAACCTTGTTCTTTGCAATGCCTTTAATGCACCTTGGACTTCTTTCATTGGCTCTTCATCATAGGCTACCTCAAACTATTACCTTGAAATAGTTGAACATGGACCATTTCTTTTCAGTCCTTCCATCGTTTGGTGCTTTCTGCATCATTCAATATTTTGCCTGTAGAATCCTTCAATATTTATGTGAGCTTTGAGTCTTTTTTTTAGTGTTCTCAGCTTGAGAAACGCTGAACGTGTTTTTCCCTTTGAGTTTTCTAACTCCATATCTTTGCACATTCTATGATAATATTTGACTTTTTCTTCTCTAGCTGCTCGTCGAAATGTTCTGTTCAGCTATTTTACCTCCTCATTTCTTCCTTATGCTTTAACATCTCTACGCTGGAGAGCAAGTTTCAGAGTCTCTTCTGACATTCAATTTGGACTTTTTCTTCTTTTCTTGTCTTAATGACCTTTTTGCTTCCTTCCTATAGGATGTTCTTGATGTCATCCCACAACTCTTTTGGTCTTCAGTCTTTAGTGTCTTATGCATCAAATCTGTCCTTCAGATAATCTATAAATTCAGGATATGATATATTCAAGATCATATTTTCGCTCTCGTGGACTTGTTTTCATTTTTCTCCAACTACAGCCTGAACTTGCATAAGAGCAATTGTTGATCTGTTCCACAGCCTTCTTTGGCCTTGTTTTGGCTGATATGGAGCTTTTCCACCATCTCTTTCCACAGATGTAGTCAGTTTGATTTCTGTGTTTTCCATCTGGTGAGGTCCATGTGTATGGTCATCTTTTATGTTTAAAAAAATTATCTGCAATGAAGTAATCATTGGTCTTGCAAAATTCTGTTATGCCATTTCCAGCATTGTTTCTATCTCCAGGGCCATATTTGCCAACCACTGATCCTACCTCTATATTTCCAACCTTTGTATTCCAATCACCAGTAATAATTATCAATATATCTTACTGTATTTTTGATCCATTTCAGACTGAAGAAGTTTATAGGATTCTTCTATTTCATTATCACTGGCTTTAGTGGTTGGTGCATAAATTTGAATAATAGTGGTATTAAGTGGTCTTCCTTGTAGGCATATGGATATTATCCTATCACAGACAGCATTGCACTTCATGACTGATCTTGATATGTTCTTTATGATGATGATTGTGACGCCATTCCTCTTCAATTTGTCATTCGCAGCATAGTAACCATGTGATTGTCAGATTCAAAATGGCCAATACCAGTCCATTTCAGCTCACTAATGCCTAGAAGATTCATGTTTATGAAGATTCATGTTTGTGTTCCATTTAATGTTTTACTATTTCCAATTTTCCTAGATTCATACTCTGTACATTCCATGTTCCAATTATTAATGGATATTTATAGCTGTTTCTCTTCATTTTGAATTGTGCAAATGAAGATCCCGCTATTCATTTCAACACTGTCAGCTCTACTCTGAGGAGGCAGCTCTTCCCCAGTCGTATTTTTGAGTGCCTTCCAACCTGAGGGTCTCATCTTTCAGCACTGTATCTGACAATATTCTGGTGTTCTTCATCGTGTTTCTATATAGTCCATATTCTGATGCTATCTGACAGTGTTCCACTGCTATTCATAAGGTTTTCAGTGACTAAATATTCAGAAGTAGTCCGTCTCTCCTTCCTAGTCTGCCTTACTCTGGAAGTTCATCTGAAACCTGTTCACCGTGGGTAAACCTGCTGGTAATTAAAATACCCATGGCATAGCTTCCAGCATCAAAGCAGCACTCAAGCCACCACAGTATGACAAACTGACAGACAAGTGGCTGGTGGCTATGTGCCGTGGAATCGGTTCTGACTCATTGTGACCCTGTACAGGGTTTCCGAGGCTATAAAGATTTACGGGAGCAGAAAGCCTCATCTTTCTCCCGCAGAACAGCTGGTAGTTTCGAACTGCTGACCTTGAGGTTCGCAGCCCGATTTGTAACCACTACGCTACCAGAGCTCCTTGACAGACAAGTGGTAGTGGGAAAACTGTTGTTGTTGTTATGTGCTGTGGAGTCGATTCCGACTCATAGTGACCCTGTACAGCGTTTCCGAGGCTGTAAATCTTTACGGGAGCAGAACGCCTCGTCTTTCTCCCGCGGAACAGCTGGTAGTTTCAAACTGCTGACTTTGCATTGTGGTTCACAGCCTGATTCGTAACCACTACCTTTTAATTACAATTTTTCCAAGAGCTTTTCAAGGTCCTCTTGTATATCATAGAGTTGGATTTTGTGCCGTTCGTTTTTTTAAAAATGGGTGAATTAACCAATTATCATTTACTAGCATATGTGATAAGGAGCTCTGGTAGCGTAGTGGTTACGAATCGGGCTGTGAACCGCAAGGTCAGCAGTTCGAAACTACCAGCTGTTCCGCGGGAGAAAGATGAGGCTTTCTGCTCCCGTAAAGATTTACAGCCTCGGCAACCCTGTACAGGGTCGCTATGAATTGGAACCAACTCCACGGCACACAGCCACCACAGTGTAAGTGATAGTTTTGGTTACAGTTTGGTTATATTTTATGTTATATGTGTATATTTTCTATATACATTTGAGCAGAAAACAAATCAAACACGTGTCCATCAAGTCAGTTCTGATTCACGGCGGTCCCACTGTTACAGAAAGGATCATAGGATTCTTTGGGGCTTTACGGAAGCACATCTCCAGGTCTTTCTTCTGCAACACCACTGGGTGGGCTTGAACGGCCAACCCTTTGGTTGGCAGCTGACTGCTTAACCATTATGCCAGTAGAGCTCCTTGTGTAGGAGGGCAGAATACAAATTCAGAGCACCAAGTCTGGTGAGAAGACTTTTCTGTCTTTTGGCTCTGGGGGAACATACTGTCTCAGCTTCTTCAGCCCTGGCATACTCGGATCCTTGGGCATCATTTCTTCCCTGCTTCATGCTTCCTTTCTTCTCTGTATGTCCAATGTGATTTTTTTTCAACTCTTAAAAGTCATTAGATGTAGCCCTCCCCACCCCCACCCCCACCCCGACAGTACTTCCTCAAAGAACAGAGAGAGCCCTGTTCCCATACAGGATTAGTCCACCGGCTAGGATCCAACCCCATATTCTGGGGGGCAGAGTACCCTGGCAGGGAGCAGAGGGTCAGAAGAAAGATGAGGCTTTCCCAGCTGTGTCTGGGTGGATGGACGCAGGAGTGGCCTGGGCCAGCCAGAATCCCTGGCTACTTTCAGGACTGCAGTAATTGGCACAGTGAATAAACTAACATCACATGCCCAAGCAACCACCAGCTGAGAAGTGGTAAGAACAACTCTGCTTACTTGTGTCTCGAGGCCTCCTGGTGACTCAGGCCCTGAACTGTGCCTTGTCCTCCCTTCAGAACGATGGTGTCCTCTTCGTCCTCATGCAGCAGGTGGATGTCGCTCTGGGGCCGGCGCTGCGCCCCAGCCAGATCCCTCCATCCCAGCTGCCTTTGCTGTGGCAGTTCTACCCCGACGAAAGACGCTACCGCGGCTCCGACTCCAGCAAATGGCATGTCGTGTACCATGTTAAGGCAAGTGTGCTTTTCCTAGGGACCAGTCACGGGACCCCAGCAGCTCCTAACCCCTCTCCCTGACCTCTGGGATGGATCTGTTCCTGTGCCCCAACACCAACAGCTCGGGACACAGGCACTGACGATAGAAGATGTTGGGGCAGTTGGTTTAGGGAGAAGTTAGGACCAGTAACCAGGCCACCCCCATGGGGCTACTTGATGGCCTTCTGTGGGGAAGACAGCACTGTTCCCTGGTTCTGACTGCGCTGGCAGGAAAGGAGTGTACTAGGCTCTGCTTTCTAACTCCCTTTCTTCTTGCAGTACAACGGCCAAGAGGACATGCTTCTACAACGGCTGCCAGAGCCCAAGCAGGAGTGACCAGTGAGCTGCCCTGGTGAGGTGCGTGGGGAGCAAGCCTTCTGCAGGCTCCATGCTCTGCTCTTCCCAGCTGGGAACAGAGCTGCCCAGGAGACCTTACATACAGCAGAAGGAGACATGGCCTGGCCCTTAGCCATCCTCACAGTCATTGTTACATTCTAGTCCCTGGTTGCTGTGTTGACCTAGCTCAATGAGGGTCTTTTTCACAGACCTTCTATTTCCCCAAATACGGTGTCCTTCTCCAGGGACGGGGTCCCTCCTGATAGCATACTTAAAGTAAGTGAGACCAAGTCTCAGCATCCTGGCTTCTAAGGAGCATTCTAGTCATACTTCTTCCAAGACAGACTGCAGGTAGCATTTCATTTCCAGTGGCTGTATTAAATATGAGCTGTGACTCACTATACCTCCCTGCGGAGATAGGTATGGCCCAATTGTTTAATGTGCAAAGCTTTTAGGAAGCCTTAATACAATGACCTCTCCAAGTTCACAGGGCCAGCTTTCAAATGCAGGCTTCTGGCACAGGCTTGGACTTGGCTCAAATGCCAGGACATGACCTCTGAGGGCCCTTCACTGTGCTCCCACCTGCCCCCCACTTCATGCAACCCAGTCCTTCCCTGCGCCTCTGAGTCTCTTTTCTTTCTCTTGTCCTTCCACAGGTCCTCCAGCTCCATCCCCTCTCACACTCCTGGATTTTAACGTGATATTTCTGCACATATCCACATTTGTTGACCAGCACTGCGTGTTCTCCCCTATCACACACGGGCTCTGGGATGAGCCCCACCACGGATGCCTGCCACTCAGCTCCCAGCGTGCCCTTCAGCTTGGCATAACTGGGAAGTTTCTGCAGTGGTTTCTCCAGACACCCGTTTCCACAGCAGGATGATGGTTTCTGCCTCTACCTTCTCAGGTCCCTCACAGCTACAGCAGCGCCTTTTGCACCAAGGACTGCTCCCCATTCTGTGCCCTCAGGGCCGTGCACCTGTGCTGGGGAGCAACAGGGACAGTTCCCCTAGCCCAGACCTCCATGGCCCTGGCATCAGCTGACTCATGTGGCATCAGGGCTGCATGCCAACGGGCTGCAAATTCCCACCTGCCAACTATGTTTGCAGGAGCTTAAGGGGACATCTGCGAGGAGGAGCCCAGGACTGTGAAACAGATTTCAAAAGCCTGCCAGTCAGCACTCCACAGTCCACGACATCACAAGACCCAGGCACTTTGGACGGGGACCTCAAGATGCCCACCTGCTGACCGGGTCGAGTTTGGACACAACTGGGTGTTGGGAAATAATATAGCATGCACATTTGTAATGTTGATTAATTAAACAAATGTAAGACAATTCATCTAACTTCTTTGTGGTTAATAAGATTCGCTCTGTCCTTGATTCCAGGGAAGAAGGTGAGGAATAGCAGTCCCCAAGTTAAAGAGAATTTTAAAGGAAGAGAAGTCTCATGAATTTAGTCTATTCTATGTTGAGGATAATGGAGCTCTGGTAGCATAGTGGTTACAAATCGCGCTGCTAACCTCAAGGTTGGCAGTTCGAAACTACCAGCGGTTCCGCAGGAGAAAGATGAGGCATTCTGCTCCCATAAAGATTTGCAGCCTCAGAAACCCTGTGCAAGGTCTCACTATGAGTTGGAACCAACTCCATGGTACTTTACAATAACAACAAATGTTGAGGTTAAGGCTGGCATTTTAGATTTTTACAATCCAACTCTCAGAACGTCAGGGTTTTGTTTGGTTTTGTTTTTTAGTTTTGTTTTGAAGATACAAGAAACATGGGTGTCATAAACACTTAAGTGCTCTAACCAAAAGGTTGGTGGTTCGGAGCCGACCAGAGAGCTGCCTCATAAGCCGGGCTTGGTATTCTGCCTACGGAAGCTTGCAGCTTTCCAAGTCCTGTGGAGCCGTTCTGCTCTGCACACATGGGTTGCCGAGAGTCGGAGTGGACTCAGAAAACAACATCAATCTGAGGTTGAACCACGAGAGTGAGTAACCCCAAAGTTGTCAGCCCCTCCTGGTAGTCAGAGCCCCTCAGTTGCCAAATCCCTAACACATCCTCTGTCCCCATCAACTGTCACCACCCTGAGCAGGCACTCACCAGGCTCTGTCCACCTGCATTATCACTTCTGGATGTTAACCAAAAGGTTGGATTTCATCCAGAGACCCCTTGGAAGAAAGAGCTGGCAATGAACTTCTGAAAAATCAGCCCTTGTAAGCCCTGTGGAGCACAGATCTACTGACACACACATGGGGTCACCAATGGCAACACATTTCTCAGGGGAGGCAGGAGTCCCTGAAACTGACATGATCCAGCTCCCTTCCCACCTCCTAGCACGGGCTTTCTGTTCCCTGTCCTTCCAAGCCAGGTAAACAACCTCAACTGTGACAAAGGTGTGGGGAAGCTCCTTGGTCCTCCCCCACATACTGTGGCTTTCGTCCATAGTGTCCCCATATTTTACATGGGTATAATGATATTTTTCTGACCAGGTTGCTCTGAGGATTCAATGGCTACTAAGAGAAATTGTTTATGAAAAACATTCCTTGTTTTGTGTTCTCTGACTACAGTCTTAGCTAGCAGTAGCCAGATAAGATGCATCAGGCACAAGTGACAGTTTGTGCCTCTTGTCATTTAACCCTGCCGTCTCACACTGTGGACCACCATCAGGAAAGGTGTGGGATGCTGGAGGCACAGTAGTGAGCCCAGTGAGACAGCTTTTTCTTGGGGACAAAAATGAGTCAGGAACTTGGGATGTGTAAAACGCCTTAAAGAAAGTAGAACAGGGTAGCAGTAGCCTGACTTATCTGGAGGTGATATTTGAGATTGGACTTTGAACATGAGAGGGAACTGAATTCTTGAGTCAGGGCAGCAGGAAAAGGGAATGTCAAACATTCTACAGATTTATTTGCTGTACAAATTAAAGACAATAATAAAAGAATTGCTGCTTAAAAGAAATGTGATATTTATACGAATTTTGTTGTTAAGTGCTGTTGAGTCACTTCCAACTCATAGTGACCCTGTATAGGGTTTCCAAGGAGCAGCTTGTGAGCTTGAACCATCGACATTCTGGTTCAAACTGACCTTGCAGTCCAGCGCGTCAACCCACAGCACCACACCAGGACCTAATATATTCTGTCACCATACTTATTCAATCTGTATGCTGAGCAAATCATCCAAGAAATTGGATTATATGAAGAAAAATGTGGCATGAGGCTTGGAGGAAGACTATTAACAATCTGCAATATGCAGATGATACAGCCTTGCTTGCTGAAAACAAAGAGAACTTAAAATACTTACTGATGAAGATCAAAGACCACAGCCTTCATTATGGGTTACATCTCAATGTAAAGAAAACAAAAAAAATCCTCACCACTGTACCAATAACTAACATCATAATAAATGGAGAAAAGATTGAAGTCGCCAAAGACTTCATTCATGAACACTCATGGAAGCAGCAGTCAAGAAATCAAATGACGTTGGATAAATATACTGCACAAGACCTCTTTAAAGTGTTAAGAGCAAAGATGTCAATTTGAGGACTAAGGTGAGCCTGACCCAAGCCATGGTGTTTTCAAGAACCTCAAAAGCATGTGAAAGTTGGACAGTGAATAAGGAAGACCATAGAAGAACTGATGAATTTGAATTAGGTGTTGAAGGAGAATATTAAAATTACCACAACCCGAAGAAGAACAAACAGGTCTGGTCTGGAAGAAGTGCAGCCAGAGTGCTCCTTAGAGGCCAGGATGGCCATAGTCGGACATACCAGGAGGGGCCAGTCTCTGGATAAGAACATCATGCTGATAAAGTGGAAGGTCAGAGAAAAAGAGGAAGACCCACCAGTGAGATGGATTGGCACAATGGTAGGAGCAATGGGCTCAAATGTAGCAAAGATTGTGAAGTTGGCGCAGCACTGGGCAGTGTTTCGTTCTGTTGTACATAAGATTGCTGTGAGTCAGTACCAATTCACTGGCACCTAACAACAACACCAATGAATGAACTGTAAATGCCACACAAAATCTGTTTCCCACAACAAGAATGACTGGCAGCGAAGGTTTGGGCTGGACTAATTGAGTGAGCAGCGAAACTCTACTGAGATGAGGAGGTGCAAGTTTGGACCAAGGGACGACACAGAATTGGCTTTTAGCCATGATATGTTTGAGATGCCTAGAAACCCTGTGGGGACAGTTCCAATCTGTCACTTAGGGTTGCGTGAGTCAAAATTTGCTTGAAGACACCTAACAATAACAATTATACTTTCAGTTGGACATGTTGATAAAATGCTGATTAACTAGGCTCTGGTAGCGTAGTGGTTACGAATCGGGCTGCGAACCTTAAGGTCAG